GGCCCGAGCGAGCCCCAGGCTCCAGGCCCCGACAAGCAGCCACCAAGGAGTGAGCCGGTGCGTACCTGGATGCCCATCCCCGGACACAAAGAACCACCAACGCACTGATGTCTGAGGGAAGTGGTGGGGGGAGATAGGCCTCCAGGCCCCGACAAGCAGCCACCAAGGAGTGAGCCGGTGCGTACCTGGACGCCCATCCCCGGACACAAAGAACCACCAACGCACTGATGTCTGAGGGAAGTGGTGGGGGGAGATAGGCCTCCATACCTTGGAGGGCCTGAGATGCACACACACACAGTGACGAGTGATGGATCGTAAGGTTCTTATCACATAAAAGCAGAACTGGCTGTAATGAGGTTCTCTAAGACCAGAGCAGCCGTTTCATGGTTGTTAATACAAACAGGAAGTTTGCTTTTTTTTCACAAACCATGAAGAGTGTCCCCATCCCCCACACGCATACACACACACACACACACACACGTTACTAGAGCCTCTTTATTTTTCATGTGTCCAGATGCCCAAACATCATGTGTAACCCTCCACGCTGGTGCGAGCTTGGAAACCTGTGATCTGAGCACTGGGAATAGTTTTCCGACCACTATGAGGAAATCTTGGCTGAATATAAAACCACCCGGAGCAGCTGGCTTTTGATGTACTTGTTCAGCTGCTGTTTAAAAAGAGACCACAAACAAAATTGTTGTGATTTCCAATCAGCTTCCAGTGTTGTTGTTAAGGAGACGGACCACTCACAGTCAGCTGCTGTCCTCAGAGTCGAGGTAGAGATCAAAGGCTGAGTCGCTCTGCATCAGTTCATTAGAATCACGTTGGCAATTCCAGAAGTTGCTTCACAAATAGTGATCTAGTTGCTGAAGGGCAGCAATTTTACTGTAAACTGACACAGGTTGGTTTTTACACAGGCAGCCGATAAGCTGTGCTCATCTGTGCACCACTATCACCACTTAGTCTGCAAGATCACACTGTTATGCTGTTTCCATTTCGTTGTACATTCAGTACCAGTAGGCGCTTCGAGTCACGAGCACCAAACGCAGTGATCTGATTGGTCTGTTTATTAAATATGAAAAATCGAGCATGATCCAAAAAAATTAAGTGCCTCAAATCCGTCCTATTAAATCACGCTGCTGTCGATGCATTAAGAGGAAAACATCTTTAACACATGAAATTATTTGACCCAATTTATGCGTTTGGTGCATAAAGACCTCGAGAGTAAACGTTGTCAGTGTGAGTCGGACCGTACATTGACCTCTGACCTCTGGTCATCTGGAGCCTGAACCTGTGGGTCAAACCTGCTGATACCGTCGTTACTCTTGTGTTTGAACCATCGCGAGCGCTTGAACTGCCGTTTGTATTCTCGGATCTTAAAACAGATCTTCACCATCACCAGATTATCCACCATTAACACCCACTTCACTCAGAGCCCAACAGCTGTGTGGAGCGCTCTCTCAGGGCTGTTTTCATTGGTTCCCTGCTGTGGTTCAGGACCAGTACAGCACCTTGGTTTTCCTGGCGTGGCCGTACTACCTGCTGATTATTTCTGAAACGCTTTATTTCAGGTGACGCGGCCGACAGCTGAGCGTCCAGAAATGCGAGTGTCAAGGTTACGCGGGGGCTATTCTGTCCTCTCTGGCATCTCTCGGCCAGCGTCGCAGGGTTTGTCAGCTCTAATAATAGTGTGGATCAGGTTCAGCAGCCCGTCACAATCCCTGTGCTGCTGGGAGGAAGAGGAGGAGGAGCTGCTTCACTCTTTGTCTTTGCTCGGAGACGCTGAGAGTCGCTGAAGCGTTTTGATGATCGTTCCTTTAGAGTCTTTGTTCTTTCGGATTGTTTTTATCTCGTCTGTCGCTTCGTTGACTTCCTCCTTGAACTCTTAAAGCTGCTTTTTTGCCTCGTTTTCTTCAAGCACGCCGTCACCTTCTTGAGAAGACTCCGATAGTTGTGGTGCGTTAATCTTCGGCCTCTTCAGGTTTCATCTTGTGCGTGAAGGAGCTTCACTTTCTGTTTTTAATGTTTTTGATGCTGGTTTAGGGTGGTGCCTCCGCCCATGGAGCGATACCGCCACTACGCCAGCTCCTACACCTCCTCTCCTGGTGCAGCTCATGTAGAGGAGATCCACGCCGAGGAGGAGGAGGTGGAGGAGGTGATGTACACCGAAGAGGAGGTGGAGCCGCTGTTAAAGGATGAAACGCAGCCTCTGCTGCAGGAGACAGGTAGGACTGAGGCATGCATGAGGTTTGGCTCAGTTGAGGTTTGGCTCTCACACGGTCGGGTTTGGCTCGTTTAGGAGGCGTGGAGGGGGAGGAGGAAGTGACACGTGCACAGAAGGAAGTGCAGCCTGTTGTCCAGGAGACAGGTAGGACAGGCATGGACTGGCCCGGTTTGGAACACTTCTTCTTTCACCTTGTATGGTGTGCAGCATGCTTTTAACACAAACTCGGCTACATCCTGTGGCAGCTTTTCACAATAAAAGCTGCCAAGATGAAACCCGGTGATGCTGTGAAGGCTTGTGGTGATTTTGGTGTGAATGATGTGTCTCAGCATCAGTTTGTTGGGGTCGGTATTCAGATTACACGTCATTGTCTTTGTAACATCAGGTTTAAGTGTAAGCAGACGTCACAGGAGCAAAGCTGTTTCTCTGTGGGCTTCCAGCAGGCACAGCGATAATGTTTTTATAGGACTCGAACAATCGCAGTTGTTGCATCGCCCTGTTCTCAGTTACACTTTGATGAAGGTTACGGTGCAGGGTAGGAGGTCGCTGCGTAGCTGTAAGTGTAAATCCCCAGTAACTCAGACAAAGTACTTGAAACCCAAAGTGACCTCAGTTTGCTTGAGTTTCTCGGGTTTGTGGGACGTCAGGTCAGCAGTGATGAAGATGATTTACTGGGCTGTAAAGTCCACGTTCCCACCCTGAGAGAGGCGTGTGGGGGTCATGAGTAGATGTCCATCCCTTACTTGGATACAGGAAGCTGCTATTTGCTGTGCTGTAGCAGCGCTTGGTGACACAAAGGGGATTTGTGTCTCCAGCTGGAATTGAACCAGCAATCATTTACTTAAACCCGCAGCAGGGTGTCCCACTGGGGGCGCCGTGGCTGCTTTGATGACTTTGGCTACGTCCACACTCGCCCGGATAAGTTTGAAAACGGCGTTTTCGTCTGAAAACGCTCCACGTCCACACTGGCGCTGTCAGTCGTTTTCACAGAGTCCACATTCCAGTCCTGCACATGCGTGAAACACAGAAGATTCGACCTGCTTCATTTCTGTCTGCTGTTTATTAGTTTATCGGCTCTTTGTAACGTCGCAGCAGAATGTCGAGGGAAAGCACCGAGTTATTTAAATGGACTCACAATGAGGTGGAGTTGTTGCTGCGAGTAACACAAAAGTACAACGTTGCAAAAGCGAGTGAGAGTTAAAGAATTTGAGGAAAAGCTACAGACTGATATTAATCTTTAACAGGGCTGTCAAACAGCTGCTGTATAACGCCCTCCACTATCTTAGTTTCATTGGTCACATGACTGCATCACATGACTAAAATGTGTCATTGTTTTTGAAAAGGCTCTGGGTTCGCTGTCCACACCGCAATGCGAAAACGGCGTTTTCAAATGTATCCGCTTTGGAGAGCGTTTCCAAAAGGTTTC